GTCTCTCTCTCTCTCTCTTGTCACATTCAAAATCTAGATGTGACCCACAGAGATAAATAACTACAGATACCTGCACACACTACTGCTGTGTGGTTGATTGTAGTCAGACTGAATGCAGACATAGCCACACATAAACAATGAGATGTGCTACAGACAGGTGACTGTGTGTTAGGTACGACATGTGTACAGCTCAGATGGTAAGCAGCCTCTACCAACAAGGGCCCCTCTGTGGCCTCAGAGGTAAACTTGGGCCTCTGATGTCTACCAGGTGTGAGGAGGAGTGTGAGGCTGGGGAGAGGAGAGCTGAGCTGGGAGGATTTGGGCTTATAGGCAGCCTCATCTCACAACACACGTACACACGTACACATGCGTGCATGCATGAGTGTACACACCAGGGGAAATGTGCTTTTTCTTTGCTGTTGTCCTATTGCCTTGGGTCAAATCAGAGTTGTTAGAATGAAACATGCTTTAGTAAGAGCCTGAGTGACTGGGGTTAGGAAACACTAGCTAGTGGGAAGAACCTCACCTGTGGAAACCTGTTCCACCACTTCCTAGTGGCAGCACGGCCTTTAAGAAATTATCCAGTCTTTCTCATCTTCCATTTCCGCATCTGTAAGATGGGGATAATAACAGTCCCTACCTCCTGGGGCACTGGGAGGAATGAAGGAGATGTCTGATCTATTTGAGGCACTTAAAAAATAGTTGTTGTTATTAATTCATCTGATCCTTATCTCCTGGGCCTACCTCTGTGCCAGATCCTGTGATTTGGGCTGGGGTGAGGAGTACAGAAATGCATGAGATACATTTTCTACCCTCAACTTGCTCTGTGCATTGGGGGAGAAAGAAGTGTCATCACACTCCTCTAATTCAGGTAATGGAATTAAGAAAATCTATGGAAGGTGCTTGTGTGGTGAGCTAAGGCTCGGAAAGTATGTTCAGTAAATGGTAGCTTTTAGTTTTGTTGTTGTCATCATCATTTCTGTGACCTGAGCTTAGCTATCTGAAGCCTAGAGAGGAGAAAGATGCCTTCTTAGGGACGAGTTGGGGGAGGCCCCATTTCCCAGGAGATATCAGTTGAACTAGTCCTTGGTAGAGAGGGAGGGATTGGTCAGGTTAAGGGGGAGGGCCAGGAATGGTGTTTTGAGTGGAGGGCCTAGCAGGAGCAATGGGCACAGATGTGACAAAAAGAAGTGGCAGGTAATCTGGTATTAACAGGTGCAGGGGAAGGGGAGAGCATCAAGCTGGAGGAGTGGACAGAGGCCAGACTGGGAAGGTCTTAGAGACCTTTAGAGGGCCAGTGGGCTGGGGGAGTTACGGGGCTACGAGAGGTACCTCTCCTGGCTTCAGTTAATAAAGACTTGTCATGCATCAAAAACTGTGGGATCAGCAATAATTAAGTCAATTAAAATGTCACCACATTAACAGCAGAGAGCTTTAAAGCAACAAAGCCCCAGAGTTTGGTGGGGGAGGGGCATTCCAGCCCAGTAGGGTGGGGGGAGGGGATGGGTCAAATTACTTCTAAACTCTGTTCCCTCTTTCTCACCTGGAGCTCTTGACATGTTCTGGAGCCTGGCTCCATCCCCACATCCATTGGAATACATGAATAACCTTCCCTATCCCCACCCTCAATAAAAGAAAGAAAGAATATAAATGTGAAAATCACCTGTAATCCCAGCTGCTCTCTCCCAGAGATAACCTCTGTTAACGTAGTCTGTATAACCTTCCAGACTATTTTTTCTATGCATTTTTATACATACATTACAAAAATGGGATCACATCATGCATACTGTTACCTATTTCTTCCACTCAACAACGTATTGTGAGCATCAGCACATACAGATACACATCATTATTTTAAACTGTGGCGCCATATTCCATTTCGGGCACAACTGTCCCCTCATCTGCTGAACTAATCCTCTCTACATGGACAGTGAGGTTTCCAGTTGTCTGCCATCATAAGCAGAGCTGTGATAAATATTCCTATATACACATCTCTGCATACTTGAAGGATAAATTTCTGGAAATGGAATTGTTGAGTCAAATGATGCTCTCTCTAAAGGCTTTTGATGCAGGGACTAGAGCTTTTTTGTCAGCAAGGTAGAAGGACCATTTCTTACTCCCCTAGATAACTTTGGGTAATAATTTTCCTTTATATTTGCTAATTTGATTGTTGAAAAATTTGTTTCTATTTTTATTTCTTTTGTTACAAGTAAGGCTGAGCTTTTTGTGATGTCAGATGGCTATGTTTCTTCCTTAATAAGCTGTCTCTCCATTTACGTAGCCATCTGTTATTAAGGTGACCATCTTTTTGTTCCTATACAAGAGCTCTTTACTTGTTATGGATAATCTCTTTTATTTTTATCTATGCTATTATTTTTTAATCAATTTTGCTATGTCATTAATATGGTAAATATTTTTTCCAGGTTTATTGTTTATAGTATATTCTATCATACAATGTTTAAATGCATTATGTCTCCATGTCTATCATTCTTTTCTCTTAGATCTCTGCCTTTGGGGTCAGGTTTACGGTGCATAGAGTGGGCTTCCATAAGTAAATGTTTTGGTAGATGTTATGTGTGAGTGTTAATGCAGAAATCTATAAATCCAGCCCTCAGCTCCCAACTTGTGTATCCAATCGCCAATTCAACATTCTTATTTGGAAGTTGGATTTATATTTCACACTTACCGTGTCCCCTCAAAACCTTGATTTCCAGTCCCCCCTCGTAGACCCACTTCTCCCTTAATGCTCCTGATTCAGGAAATGACCCATCTTCACTCAGTTGCTCAGGCCAAAAGCTTAAGTCATCCTTTTTTCCCCCTTTTCCTCACATCTTATAACTAACCTACCAGCAATCATGTCAATTCTGCCTGCAAAATATGTCCTAAATTTGACCACCTCTTACTATCTTCACCCCTAACACCCTACAGGCACCTTCCACAGGCACCTCATTGCTGGCCTGAATTTCTGCAGTTGGCCTTGTCTCTCTGTTTTCCTTGTTGACCCTCTGTAGTCGGTTCTTCATACAAGCAGCCAAAGTGAGACGTTAACAGCAAATCATATAATGTTACTTTCTATGCAGGACCCTCCAGGAGATTCCATCACACTTAGGATAAAATTCAAACTCCGTACAATGTGCCATGCGCCCTCCAGAATCTGTCTCCCTCCTCTCCTTCCAGACTCTCTCTTCCACTCGCTCCCTCCCTCTCTGTGCTCCAGCTTCCTGGTTTTCTTGCTGTTCTACACATATAGTGAGCTTGTTCATGCCTCAGGGCCTTTGTCCTTGCTGTTCCTTCTGCCTAGAAAGCTTTTCCCCCAGAGCTTCGCATAGCTTACTTCAAATATCAGAGCCCTTTCCTGACCACACGTTCTAAAATAACCTTGCCTCTTCCTCTTGTTATTCTCCTCCTCTGCTTTATTTTTCTTCAGAGCACTTATTCCTGTCTGACATTATTACATATATTTATTTGTTGTTATATAGCCCTCTTCCCCTGGTATGTAAATTCCACCAAGGCAGGGGCTTTGTTTGATGCTTAGTAGTTGAGTGCTTAATAAATATTTGTTGAATATGAGTAACATGTGAATATGTGTGATTGTAATGTTTGTGTGTAGGAATATCTGCTGCATGGATAGATATTTATGAGAATGTCTGTGTGGAACTGTAGAAATAATGACATGGAATTTGTGACTATTGCTGAGTTTGTGTGTGAATGCCTTGCCAAGAATATCTGTATATGTGCGTTTGTATATGAAACGTGTGTGCTTGTCTGAGTGTGTGTGAGTGCAGGTGCTGTGGCTGTTTGGTTGTGTATAGCTGTGTCTATTTCAGTGAGGTTGGGGAGCTGGGGCACTTGGGCACATTCTTCCTCTTATCAAACAGACTTGCTATTGCCCCAAACTTCCCTCCCCTCACCCCCAATATCCAGGAAACAGGAAACATCTGTGTGTCTTTGGAAGTCTGTATACATTGGACCATATTCCAAAAATGACATTCAGGCCAACACAAGATGGGTGCTCAGACAATGACCGTGAGGGTCCAGAGGAGACTTGGGGCTGATGGGACCTTGGCAGCATCCTGCTGATCTGAGCCATCTCAGTAGGAGGAATGCGTTCTCTAATGAATTGGCCACAGACGAATGAGGCTAAAGCTAGGTGAGGTGGGGCAGGCCCCGGATTGGCTGTATGGCCTTGACATGTTACTGCTATTTCTCTAAGCCTCAGTGGACTCATCTGTGATTGGGGTTCATTGCTCTCGGCAGCTTGCTTCTTGAGAATATGATCAGAATAGAGGGAGGTAATGGTAGTGAATATATAATAGTCACAACAGTAGTGTTCTTATGTCTGTGTAGCTCATTAGGGTTTTAATCCACAATCTCATCAGAATGAATGTCTCAGTATCCCCAATCCAGCTCTGGGTTTGGCCCCATGTGGGCCTCAATGGATGTTTGTTGAATAAATAATAAGTGTGCTAGTGAATCAATGAATGTACAAATGAGTAAGTGCCTGGACAACCAAAAGGAGAGATGACAGCATAGAGCAGTAAATGGACTGATAAATCACAATGGCTCACACTTTTGAGCACACTGTGCACCAGGCTCATTGTAAAGGCTTCTCTTAATCCTTGCAATAACCCCATGAGATAAGTACTATTTCTAGCCCCTTTTTGCAAATGGAAAAAACAGGGTCAGAGAAGTTAAGCAACTTGTCCCAAACCACAAAGCTAAGTGGCTGCGTTGAGATTCCAGTCCAGGCAGTCTGACTCCAGAGCCCAGAGTATTAAACCTGACATAAGCCCTGCTGAGTGAACCAATGAATGAGTGGGTAAATGAAGAAATAAATGTAGGAGCTCTCCCACTCTTAGTCGTGGGCAAGAAGACAGAAACTCTTAGGGGTGAGGCGGGCATCCAGGATCTCGGCTAGGGGTGGCATCTCCTCCAGGATAGTGAGTGACACCCTTCCTCATTGGCCTCTCTATCTTCCTTGTCTGCAGGCGAATGCCACGATGCAGCACTACGGGGTAAATGGCTACTCGCTCCACGCCATGAACTCGCTCAGCGCCATGTACAACCTGCACCAGCAGGCGGCCCAGCAGGCCCAGCACGCCCCTGACTACCGGCCGTCTGTGCATGCACTTACGCTGGCTGAGCGCCTGGCTGGTAAGGGCTGTGGGGACAGGACCTTGTGGACAGGACTATGAAGGTTGAGGATGGTGGAGAGGTCTAGGGGAGGAGGCTCTGGAAGACAAAGGAGGGAGGGAGCAATGGGAAAGTTTCCTCTGGGAGGTTTGTTCTGGAAGACCCAGGTCACTTAGCATCACAGAGATGTCAATTCAAAATCTAGATGTGACTCTCTGAGCACCCCTTGTTGCCAGCACTGTGCTGGGCTCTGGAGCTGCCTTATGCCTCCAAATTCTTTTAACAACCCTGCGAGGGAGGGATTCATTAGCCTGCCTCACAGCTGAAGAGGCTGAAGTAGGATCATAAGGGACTAGCTTAGAATTTTACAGCTAAGAAGTAGCTGGAGTGTCCAGGGGAGGATAGTTCAGGCACAGGGAGTCTATTAACAATGAGAGCTCTCTTGTTTCAAAAACCTATGGTGTGCCAGGCACTGTGTGAGGCTCTCTCTCTCTCTCTCTCTCTGCATCAAATCATTCATCCTCATAAGGAGAGGTTATTATCTCTATTTTATGGACAAGGAAACTGAGGCACAGAGTGGTTAAATCTAGGCAGGGGTGGGATCAGGGATTGGAACATGACATTTTGGCTAAAAATATTACAGGGTCGTCCATCCATCTCTCTTCTCTGAGCCTCACTTTCCTCCTTTATAATAAACAGGAGACACTGACAGTGATCACTCTTAGGAGAGTTGGGAAGTTATTTGAGCTAACGTGTGCAAAGTATTCAGCAGAGACTGGTAGGTGCTCGGAGGTTATTATTACCCAAGTCCCAAGGTAATGCCCATGAAGGAGCTGCAGCCTGGTCCCCTGGTTCGACTGATTATTGCACTGCCCTGACAGCCTCTCAGTGGGCATGGGAAAGGTTTGATAGCATAGGTAAGGAGTGTGATTTTCTGTCTCCATCCTGTCTCCATCCTGTCTCAGGCCAAGCCTTGAGCAGCTGGTGACTCCTTGTGGGCCCATCCTGTGCCAGGAGGTCCTCAGAGGACTTCAGGGCATCCCCAAAGAGACCAGGTGCCCACAGATCTATAAGAGGGCATAGCAAGAGGAATGTAGCTAAAATCAAATGGTAGGGCAGCTCAGAGCAGCATGATCAATTGGTGTAGTCAGGGAGGACTTCCTGGAAGTCATGGAACAGGGGCCAGGCCTTAAAAGGGCAAAGAGTAGGGCCTAACATGAACATAGGCACAGAGATGGGATGGGATATGAGGACTCAGCTGGGGAGATGTGCTGGCTTCGAAGGGAGGGTGGGGGAAGCACTCCCATTCCTTTAGACTCTGTCAGGCCTCTGGGCAGGGCTCAGTGGTTACAACTGAGCTCCTGGTCACCTTCTGCAAATTGGTGTGGGGGCATTAGTCTCCAAAGTAGAAATGTGGGTGCAGTCCTGCCTTGGTTATGGCTATTCTCTGGTTTAAAATGAATTCCCTGAGCCTATCAGCTCCTGACTGTGTGCCAGAACCCAGAAAGGAGAAGTCAGGGACAGAGGCTCACCTCTATTGGTTGGGGCAGAAGAACTGGAGTATTCAGCCCTACTCCCAATTCTCTAATTCTGAAGCAAGAAGTACATGAGCTCCAGATGGGCATTTGTATAGAAGCCTCGCCTTCCAGCAGGAGGTTTAGCTAATGGTACAGACAGCCTGGCCTCCCAGGCTGCAACCACCCTCCTCTTGTAGTCCTTGGAGCCAGCAACAGGATACTGAGGTGTTACTCCCCCAACCAGGGTTTGGCTGACTGAGACAGGTCCCCATTCCCTCCCTTGCTCCAGAGTGATCAGCATGAGCATGAGGCTGAGTTGGGGCTGGGATTAGCACCAGTTTGTGAGGGGTCCAGAGCTGCCTCTTTAAGCTGAAAAAGAAACAGCTCAAGGTCTGAGGCTCCTAGAAACCCCGTTGCCTCCTTCTTCTGCTCCAGTGTGGAGGATGATTCCCCAGTCCCTGGAGTGCTGGGGAAGGATTCCAGCAGCCTTATGTGGAAGCTGACCCAACTTGGGTTCCCTTCAGCACAGGCAGTCCAGGATCCACTTGTGGGTGATGGGAGGCAGGGAGAGAGGTTATTGTTTATCCTCCAGGAACTAGTCAAGCTGAAGGGCTGGAGAATAGATACCAACCCTAGGCAGACCTCTATCCTGGGTAGTTTTCGTGTTACCAGCATGAAGCAGGACTGTGGAATCACTGGCCCACGAGCCCTGTCTCCCCCTCCAAGGTGAGGTGGTTAGAACCTGGTCTCTGTCCTTCCCTCCTTGAGGAAGCAGCCAGAAGGGTCAAGACTGGATGTAACAAGCTTTTCCTGTGCTCTCAGGGCCCTGTCAGAGGCCAGGCTTTCTGCAGATGAGACATAAGAGCAGGAGCCTCAAGTCTGGCCATCAGAAACTCATTGGCGAACCCGGATGATGAGATTCTTACCTAGAAGACATAGAGTCCAGTGCCAGGAAATTCTGTCTACCTAGCAGACCTCTCCCAACTAGACCTTGCAGATAAATCCTAACTTGCAGCCTGGCCTCTCATGGTCAGAGGCCAGTATTGTGTTGGCATCCGGAATCTAAGGGTCATAGGATGTTAGGACCTTTGTGACACAGATTTACAGATTGTTAGCATTATGTCGTCTCAGAATATTATACCCATAGTACCCTAGGACTTTAATGGTCAGGGGCCGGAATCTAAGGGTCGTAGGATTTGTGACACAGATTTACAGATTATTAGCATTATGTCGTTTCAGAATATTATACCCATAGTACCCTAGGACTTTAAGGACCTCAGGGCAATGCCCACCCATCTCCCCACCTCCCCTCCAAACCAAATAAGGAAGACCCCCCTCAATCACATTCCTGACAGTCATTCATGGAGATGAGTTAGACCTCTGTGATCCTGATAGTGAATGATAAGGGTGGCACAGTCCTAGCCCTATGTAGAGGGGATGGGTGACTTCCAAGGGGAAAGGGTCAGGGTCCAACTCTGGTAGGAGCCTGGGTGTCTGAAATGGGTCAGAGCAGAATAAGGTTCAACCTATTTCCCATAATTAAATGGGCCCCCTCTCCTTGCCCTCCAACGGCTGTACATTTCAAGACATCATCTTGGAGGCCCGTTATGGCTCTCAGCACCGCAAACAGCGTCGCAGCCGTACAGCGTTCACTGCTCAGCAGCTCGAGGCCTTAGAAAAGACCTTCCAGAAGACTCACTACCCGGATGTGGTGATGCGTGAGAGGCTGGCCATGTGCACCAATCTGCCTGAGGCTCGGGTGCAGGTAGGACCCGACCCACTCCTTGTTAACTGGACCTTGTGGATAAGCACCAGCCCATCAGTCTGGCTTCCCTCTGTGCAGGAGCCAGCAGTTCAGCCCTCAGTGCCAAAGTGTAACCGCTGTCTCCATGGACGCCTTTGGTGACAGGAGGGGAGTTTTGGAAGGGATTGAGGGTATGTACCCTAGAGGGGCAAGGGCAGTGTTATCATGCACATCCCCTCCCAGAGCTCCCAGCTCCACAGCTCCACTTCTTCCCTGCCCCCTCCTACTGCTCCTCTCACTGTCCCCAGGTGTGGTTCAAGAACCGTAGGGCCAAGTTCCGGAAGAAGCAACGCAGCCTGCAGAAAGAGCAGCTCCAGAAGCAGAAGGAGGCTGAGGGCTCCCATGGGGAAGGCAAGACCGAGGCCCCAACCCCAGACAGCCAGCTGGAGACTGACCAGCCTCCCAGCCTGCCCAGCGGTGACCCCCCTGCTGAGATGCACCTGAGCCTGTCTGAGCAGTCAGCCAGTGAGTCAGCCCCTGAGGACCAGCCTGACCGGGAGGAGGACTCCCGGGCAGGGGCCGAGGAACCCAAAACTGAGAAGAGCCCTGGGGCTGAGAGCAAGGGGCTGGGCTGCAAGAGGGGCAGCCCCAAGGCAGGTGAGGCTGGGCAAGTTCTGTGGGTGGGCGGGGGGCCCACCCCAGGGAGAATAGCCAGGTCCAGCCTGACAAGGGCCTGGGTGTGCAGAGCAGGTGGGCAGAGCAGGGGGTAGAGTGAATCTTTAACATGTGGTGCTTGGGTGTGACCCATTAGAAAGGACTTGGCCATAGCAAGCCAGTGCCAGGTGGTCACCCTTTAGATGCTGAAACCTAGGAAGGTCTTGGGGGTTCTGGGGAAAAGAGCTGGGTGGCAAGGGAGGGATACTTGGGGGAGCTCAGGGCAAAAGCTATTTATCAATCATTATAGAAATATTCCAGTATTTTAATAACTAGAATAGACATACTTGTGCATACTGAGTGAATACCATATTGATACCAGAGATTCCCACATGCAGTAGAGACTCAGAGCTTTGCTTTTGAAGGAACAGAGCTCTGACACGAGGCATATCTCAGATACAAAACCTGAGCCCAAGCAGGGAGGGAAGGCCTGGGAGCTGACTGCTGGAGGGGGATGGAAGCCACAGATAGGAGAGGGGAAGAGGAGCTGGCCACCCTTGCAAAGTTGACTCCCCAAGAAGTCAGACGTGGGGCCCTGAGTCCCTCCCTCCCAGAATTCTGAGGGACGCTTCAGGCATCCCTGACATGGGTAGATATGGTTTCAGCCAAAGCCTGTCTTATCTGCAGCACTAGTGGGGTGAGAAGGCTGAGGGAGCCCCTCCTGGCAGACCAATGGCCTTGTCCTGAGTCTTTGGTTCTCTGCTTGCAGATTCTCCAGGCAGCCTAGCCCTTGCTCCTGCAGCCTCTGGGAGCAGCCTCCTGGGCCCCTCCCACTCCTACTCGTCATCCCCGCTGAGCCTCTTCCGTCTGCAGGAGCAGTTCCGCCAGCACATGGCAGCCACTAACAACCTGGTGCACTACTCATCCTTTGAAGTGGGGGGTCCAGCCCCTGCTGCTGCTGTGCCCTACCTGGGTGTCAACATGGCCCCGCTGGGCTCACTGCATTGCCAGTCCTACTACCAATCCTTGTCAGCAGCCGCAGCTGCCCACCAGGGCGTGTGGGGGTCCCCACTGCTGCCTGCACCCCCCGCAGGCCTGGCACCTGCCTCAGCTACCCTGAACAGTAAAACCACAAGCATCGAGAACCTGCGGCTTCGGGCCAAGCAGCATGCGGCCTCCCTGGGACTCGATACTCTGCCCAACTGACTGCTGGTCTCCAACCCAGCTAGGGGTCTTGGGTGCCCCCCACCCGGCCCCATGGTTATTCCCAGTGATTCTCAAGGAATTCACTGAATGAGCCCAGAGATCTGGGGCTTGGAATCCGGCTTCCTGTCCACCCTCCCCCAGAGCCCCAGCCCTAGATGAAGCTCGCATTTACATACCCTCTGCATGGCCCTGCTTGGATCCCATGGAGGCTAATGGGAGGAGGTGAGAGGCTGGGGTACCCCCAGCTTTCCTGGGAGAGTGAGAAGCTCTCACTGGCTAGATCCCCACCTCAGTGTCTCGTCCTCCCTTCCCTCCCCCGCCCATCCCTTCTTCCCCCTAGTAAGTCGCTGTGTGGAATGTGAGATATAAATATAAATATATAAAGCTATATTTTCAGGCACCTGCCTGCCCCAGGGCCCCTGCCTGCTCTGTCTCTTCTCCGCTGTTGCCCTTGCCTCCACCCACAGCTCCTGCATCTCATTCTGGCTTTCCTTTCTCTCTCTGTCTCTCTCCTTCTTCCCTGACCTCTTCTTCCTGCCTCTGTCCCGTTCCTTACAGCCTTTCCCCCTCGCCTGTGTCTTCCCCATTCCGGACCTTTCGCCATGGCTCTTGTTGCCTTCCTCTCTTTCTTTTTTTGGTACTGGCTGTGTTGGTGTCATCAGTTCCCAAGCTATGTTTCTTTTGGGGTTGTGACTTTTTAGCTTTAGTAATGTTGCTTCTTCCTATTCCTCTCCTTCTACTTCTTCCCCACCTGCCTGTCTCCGCCCTGCACTGGCACGCTCTCTAGGCAGCCATTCCTTTCCATGCCCATTAGAGGTGATCAGACCCTAGCTGGAGACCCTGTAGCCACTAGAGCTGCAGGTAGGAGGTGGCACTGGTCCCTAGAAGGGGTAGTGAGTCATGTTCTCGTCTCTCTTTTCTCAGCTTTGAGACTCCATTCCTAAGATTGAGGAAGCGGGGAGTGAAGGCAGGAGTCAGGCTGGGGCAGGCAGTAGAATGGCAGCCTCCCTGCCTGTAAGAACGCCAGGACAGAAGCCTGCTGCCCGGCTCATCCAGGACTGCCCACAGGGCTCTAGACCTCCTTTTGGTGAGACTTCTCTGGTTGGAGAAAGGCAGCAGGGGGAGGGGTGCTCTCAGAGAGAGGTGATACTCCTCTGCCACACCCTGGCCTCCAGCTTCAGCAGCTAGTGTCCATTGCAGAGGTGAGCTTGAGCCAGGAATGAAGGTTGAACTCTAGGTCCTGATCACAGTGAGTGCAAACCATGCAGCAGTGTATAGTCTCAAGTTCTTGTTGACATCCTGCCCCAGAGCTGATTGCTGAAGGTAAGGGCTGCGGTCCAGCTAGTCCCTGGCACAGAAGAGTATGTTCCTGTTTATGACCGGGAACCCAGTTCAGCAAACTTTCTTTCAAAGAGAAGTGACCTTGAGCCATCCCATAGCCTCTCTGGGCCTGTGTCCCCGTCTGGCTAAGATGGCTTGTGCTGTCCTATCCAGCTCTAATGTTCTGCATGTCTGTGCTCAGATGTTTTTAGTTAAACTCATAACAATGACAAAATGGCTCTCAAAAACACAATATATGAAGTAGAAAATTACTATTGCCTTACTGTGAAGCAATGGGTATTGCATACACAAGGCTCTCTGTGGGCATGGCCACAGTCTCCGGGCCTCAGTTTCCCAATAAGTATAATGGGTTCCTTCTAGTTGAGACAATCTGGATTTGATACTGCTTTTCTTGAGTTCCAATGCAAGTCTCTGTTGTCACCCCATCTCCATGCCTTCACGTGGTCTCAGAGGTTCACGGTAGGAGGAGGGGGCTGGCTTGCACAGATTCTGAGCCATGATCACCAAACCTGTATGCCTCACCACTGAACTGTCCACCCCCTGCTTACAGAAGCTGCATCTGAAATTCTTAAGGCTTGTCTCCTTTTCCATTGGGAAGAGGAGGGGGTCTTTTGGTGTCTCATTAGGATTGGTTTGCAGAACAGTTGATGCCCATTGTCTTTGGGGGGACTGTCTGGGCTAGAGCAGATGGAGAAGGCGTTAGATGAGAAAAAATTAAGGGGGATAGTAGTCTGGACCAGGAAACTATTTTAACAAAGCAATGGAATGAGACTAAGTAGAAAACAGCGAAGAGGTGTCTGGCTTCATGAGACATGGGGCTCAGGGCCTTGGATCCAGGCGAAAGCCCCTCATCTCCATGTGGCAAACACCAAGTCAGGAGGTAAGAGTTTCTGAGTGGGGATCAGATGAACCAGGCTCTGGGACCTGGGATTTGGAAGGTGAATCCAACAGCTGCAGGAGTACCAGAGAAGGAGGAGGCGGAGACACGAGGAGACAGAAGGAATTTTTGGTTTGTCCTCTGGGATCAGCTCCAGGAAGGTCTGTTTCTGAACAGAATGAAATCTCATCTGGACCAGGCATAGGGACTGAAACTTCTTGCCTGTCCCTGGATGCGAATGACTGTCGCTGGGCCTTGGAATCCGACAGCTCTGGACATCACCACCCTCTCCGGGCAGCCTCCTCTGACCTCCTAAGAGGCAAGTCCACCCCAGAGTCACGTTCTGTCATGGCCGGAGCCAGGCCCACCTCAGGCTCAGCCCAGCTTTTTTCAGCTCTTTTTCAACGCTTCCTCATTCAGTTGACCCAACTCCGCCAGCCCAGAGGATGTGGTGAAGTGTGGTCTCTGTGCCTGGTGGATGTCCACCTTCTTTCAGGGGCCAGCCTCAGTTACTGAAATCAGCTGGAGAGCAAGAGGAGAGTGTATCGAGCATCAACTTCAGGATCGAAGGATGTGGGCTTGGGATGGCCCACCACCCCAAGACTGAAGCTGAAGCCTTTCCCAGCTCCACTGGGTCACCCTGAGGCCTGAGCTGTGACTGTCCCAGGAAAGCCTCATTCCTCACTTCTCCCTCCTATTTGAGGTCTCCATTTCCCTGCTTCCTCATTTCCCCAGAGCATGGTCCAGGGGCCTGGGCCCTGACCCCGATTCCTTGGCCAGAGGGCTGTACAGACTACCTTCCAAACCAGCTGTTTTGTGACCGTTTGTGCTTAGAGGTTGTGCCAGTCTGTGGCAAAAACAATGTGTTCCGTATTTATTTATTCTGTTAGTTGAAAAAGCAAGACTCAAATCCTTCCTTCCCCTGCCCCGCCCCCTGCGTAGTGCAGCATGACACTCTGTCCTGTGTATCGGTCCGTCTGTCTGACTTCCTGTGATGTTGTGACCTATTCTTTGTCCTACTTGGCTAATAAAAGAGAATCTGGCAGCACAACCCTTTGCCCAGTTTCATTCCCGGAGGTGCCTGCAGTGGCCTGAGCAGGTGGTGAGTATCTCAAGGTTTGCTCAGTGGAGGAGGGAGGCAGGCCTGCCTCATGATTGGCCACTCCCGTATTCATCTGACAGCTCTCTCTATGGCCATTACCTACCTGTTGCTGGCATGTCACTTTGGAGTTGTCATGGAAGCGGAAGGACAGGGTAGGGAAGGGTTCCACTGTCTCTGGACTGCGTGGACCTCACCCAAACACATGCGGTAGGTGGCCTAGGGCCAGGGCACTTGGAGGTATTCAGAGCAGCCTGGAGGGTGGGTCTGTAGGATGGAAAGGGCAAGGGATTCTATGGGAAACAGCAAGTAAGCCAGGGCAAAAGGGGCATGACAAGCAGGCACAACTGAATCTAAAGCCAGAGTTGTTCTTCAATGGGACAGGTGGCCTCTGGAGGGAGTAAGCTCTTAAGAGTCCACAGAGATGAGCAAGTAGAGGATGAAGAAGGGGTTTCTGCTGTGGGTGGCAGCATGGATTAGAGATTTATGAAGGTGCCCCAGCTCAGGGAGAGGGGTGTGTGTGTGTGTGTGTGTGTGTGTGTGTGTGTGTGTGTGTGTGTGTGTGTGTGTGTGATTATAGCTTATATGTCTGTATGTACATGTGAGAACCTGTGCCATGAATTCATAAATGTCTGCTTATATTCCTGTGTGTGCGCACTTGTACATGAGCAAAGAGAGGGAGACTGTGAGACTGTATGTATAGGCAATAACTGCAGAAAAAGTGCACAACTAAGGAGTTATTTCTGTGAAATCTCGGTTCCTTCTGCATTTCAAGAAAAATATGACAGGCAACCTCTTCTGCTTGGCCTTCACGGCCCTTCTTCAGGTTCCAGAGTATTTGCACAGGGCCTCTGAGCCAGCAGGGGTGGTGCAAGCTTGGGGCTGGGGTTTGGGTGGGGTGAGCATCACTTCTGAGGATTTCCTGGTAGGAGAACCCCAGCGGCCCGAATAGTGTGCAGGAAGCTGCCTGCTGGGCTTCCCAGGGGTGGCAGGCAGATCCCAGGAGATGCATTCTTCTCCCCCCACTGGGGCTGAGGATTAGGGCGGGGAGCACTCCGCCTTCACCTTGCCATCCCACCTTCCTAGGAGGGGCTGGCAGATCAAATGTCTGCCCCAAATCTCCCATTGCTCCCTCCGGGACCTGCCTCCTACATACCTCAGCCCCACTGCACACACCTTCCCTGGCATAGAGGGAGCCAGGTAACCCCGTGATAAGTGATAAGTTCTGATCACTTATCCACTTGGCACTTTACTGAGCACCTGCTCTATGCCTGGCCCTGTGTCGGGTGCTGTGTACACAGAAACAAGTAAGGAAAACATGGTCCCTGCTCTCCAGAAACAACACAGGGAGATTTGGGGTCCAAAAATAGAGAACTATGAGTACAGAAGAGGGGTCACTAGCTTAGCCTGGTGAGGTCAAGAAGGCTCCTTGGGAGGGAAACTTTCTATCTGGGTCCCCTAGGTCCAGTGTTTGCCAGGAGGGCAAGAGAGAAGGGTGTCTTGGGAGAGGCACATTTCATAAAGCCCTACAGCACCCAGTCAGCTGGGTGAGTCTCTGAGCAGGGGGCCTGTCTGGGTGGGGCCTGAGGATGGTGGTGGGGGAGGGGTAGCATCAGGACCTAAGGATGGAAAAGGAAGCCAGGAGCTTGGACTCAAGCCCAAGGATCATGGTGGGGCTGGGAG